CCTAACTATCACAAAATATCCAGCTCACGAAAATTTACAATTCAGACATTCAACAAATTATATTTCACACGCAAAAGTTTGCAAAACAAACATATTCAATGAATCAAATTTTCATAATTTTGACGATTCAATGTAGTAAGACAAATTTCAAAATTTAATAATCGGCGACATTTCAGATGAACCAACTTCTTATCTATTGAATCGATTTTTATTGACACTATGAGTCATTCATATCAAACCAATATAAGAATTAAAAGGAATACTAACAAACATGCACGTTCCATGTTTTCTTATATGCATATAAATATCATTAATATATTCATATATACACCAACTATGGCTTTTGACTTATGTTTCATTTGCATACAAATCAATTCAAGTTTTTGAAGTTATTAACAATGACAAACCAATCATGATCCTCCACGCGTCTCAATTATGAGAAGCTAATATCTAATTGGTTTTGAAATTGAGTTAACATTATTAGATGAAACATTGTAGGTGAAAGCAACATTAAATAAAAATTAAAAATTTGAAATATCAACACAATAATGTTAAGACAACATGACATCATTGAAATGGAATCAATGAAAGTGAGTACAATCAAATTGGGGTTGTCTTGTGACATTAATGATCCATGTTGATCAATTTGACAAATTGAGAATCAAATTGAAGTTGCTAAACTTTTTGCATGTTAGTACAAACTTATTGAGCACGACACAACATGTATTTACTAACATAACATGAAAATAACTTCTTTTACAATGACATTTCAAAAAAATAATTAAGTTCATGCATAGAATAATTTCTTGTTTCTTTCATTTTTAAGCGATTTGAGTTATCCATTCCACCAACTTCCATGTTGTCCTACAAATGAATATGATAGGGAGTTAAAGAGAAGACAACACCATGGTAGAAGATTGAGAGAACTTGGTAAATTTTAGTGTGGCAAAGAAAAAACGTTTTCAATAAATTTTGAATTTTAGAGAAATTAGTGTTGAGGTTGGTTGAAAATATATATGTTAAATTTTTTTTATATTACTTAATTTTGTGAATGAAGAGAGAGTCCATGACTATATATAACATACAAGTTCTTTGAAGTCCCGTATCGTTTCGTTTTGTAAAGGAAGATGGAGTCCAAAACTATATATAGGATTCAAGTTCTTCAATCTAAGATACACCAATCAAAAGCACTTTAAGTTTGTATTTCACTTTCTTTATTCTCGTATACTCTTGTATTAGAGTGTTGTGAGTAATAGTTAAATATTTGTATTGGAGGGTGTGAATGTACTAGGGTCTGGGTTAGTTGAGGATATATTATGTGTTGTAACAATTTTCACAATGTTATTCTGTGGTTGTTTATTCACAACAGCCATAGTTTTTTCTCCGGTATTAGAGTTTTCACATTATCTTCGTGTGTTGTGATTGTGTTCATCTTTTTTTCTCTATACTTTGTTTTTCTTATTAACTGGTATAAGAGCGTTTGGTTCGATCTGGAGATAAGTGTTCTTAGTATGCTCTGTGGTTCGCTGTGCAGTTTGCGCTAGAGAAAATTGATGAAATAATTTTTTTTTTACTTTTGAAAAGTTCAAGTCAAAGATGCGTTGATACAATCAAGATTACACAAGGTGCAAGATTGTGTCGGTGGTTGAAGAGCTTCTTGGTAACAAGGAAGTTGTATCATAAGTTTTTAACTTTCCAACCTGTTTTTCTTAACAACTGGTATCAGAGCTTTTGGTTAGATTCGGAGATAAATGTTCTTAGTATGCTCTGTGGTTCGCTGTGCAGTTTGGCTAGAGAAAATTGATGGAAGAAATTTTATTTTTGACTTGTGGAAAGTTCAAATCAAATATGCGTTTATACAATTAAGATTACACAAGGTGCAAGATTGTGTCGGTGGTTGAAGAATTTCTTGTCAACAAGGAAGTTGTACCATAAGTGTTCAACTTTTCAACCTGTTTTTCTTAATAACTGGTATCAGAGCTTTTGGTTTGATCCGAAGATAAGTGTTCTTAGTATACTCTGTGGTTGCAGTTTTGTCTGATCTTCCACATTAGAAAAGAAGGGTAGTATTGTGAAAGAGTTGTTAAACTACAGTCACAAATTCCGCTATGCAATTTGGGTTAGAGAAAAAAATGATAGAATATTTTTTTTTTTGACTTGTGGAAAGTTCAATTCAAAGATGTGTTGATAAAATCAAGATTACACAAAGTGTAAGATTTTTGTTAGGGGAAATTTTTCAATTAGGGAGCATTGAACATTGTAGGACTTTTCTTTCTAGAGCAACACCTTTGTGAGAGACACAATACTCACACAAAACTTTAAGGTGATATGTGTGTGGGTTCTCCCACTTATAAATGCTCAAGTCTCCACATTCTTATCCAATGTGGGACTATTATTCACACTACTCACACTTGTTAATATTTAACACTCCCCCTCAAGTGTGAGTCTATCCACAATGCTTCTACAATGTTCCCCATTAAGCAGAATCTCTTTTCATTAACATACACTTGTACCGCCGTTAACACTCTTCAACGAGACACCTCCTAACCACCACCTATGGGGACTACTTTCGATACAAGTGAGTTGGTCCTTCACTCGAACCAAAGGCTCATGATACCACTGTTGGGGGAGATTTTTCAACTAGGGAGCATTGAATATTGTGGGACTTTCCTTTCTAGAGCAACACCTTTGTGAGAGACACGCCACATACTCACCCAAAACCTTAAGATGATAGGTGTGTGGGTTCTCCCACTTATAAATGCTCAAGTCTCCACATTCCTATCCAATGTTGAACTATTATCCACACTACTCACACTTGTTAATACTTAACAACTATGTCAGTGGTTAAAGAACTTTCTGCCAACAAGGAAGTTGCACCATAAGTTTTCAACCTGATTTTTGACAAGTGAAAATTGTTGAAGTGGTTTAACTTCAAGTGAAGTATACTCTTCTTTAGGTGGAGTATGATAGTTTATTAAAACTATGATTGTCAGTAAAGACAATGTGAAATTCTTGGAATAATTTAGCTTCAAGTGAAATTTATTCTACATGATAAAGTATATGATTGTCGGTTATTACAATGTGAAATTCTTGAAGTGGTTTATCTTCAAGAGAAATATATTCTTCATGAGAGAGTATGATAGTTTTTAAAACTATGATTGTTATTGAAGAAAATGTGAATTTTTTTGGAGTGGTATAGTTTCAAGTGACTATACTCTTATGGTGGAGTATGATTGTCGGTGAAGAGAATGAAATTGTATGTATTATTTTCAATCAATGTGGAGATTGTTGGGATTGGTTGAAACACATCACTTAGTATTGTGAAGGAAGAGGAAGTTCAAGGCTATATATAAGATTCAGGTTCTTCATTCCCAGATGCACCAGTAAAAAACACTTTAAGTTTGTATTTGACTTTCTTTGTTCTCTTATACTATTGTATCTGATTGTCGATTGAAAGCGACCATTATTTTTCCTTGTATTTGGTTCTCTATTGACAACAACTGTGATTTCTTTTTTATTTTGAAGTTTCCAAGTTATGTTCTTGTGTTGCGATTATGTTTCTCTTTTTTCTCTATATTTTGTTTGTTTTCCACAAGAGAGGAAGACACCACATCTCAACTCAAAATCTTAAGGTGTTAGGTTAATATATCATTTCTTTTATAAATTCAACATTTCACTCATTCATAAACAATGTAAAACTTTAATTACTCACACTTACACCTAACATTTTCTCCCACAAATATGAGTCTTCCACATCCTATAACAAAATCCAACACTCAAATAAGATAATAAGTTGAAAAATAACTAATTTTTGTATGCGTATAGTTAACTTTCACCTTAGATTTAAGGTAGATTTACTTATATTTTAATATAAAAAACATATCTTTTAGGTTTTATCAGAATTTGATTTTAAGTGAACAATGTTGTTTCAAACAGAAGCCTAGTAACCAAAAAAACTAACAAAGAGATTTTTTTCTTCTCAATTTCATTTAAATGCAAGAGCTTGTTTGTATATTCACAAAAGTCAGAGAAATAAATACAAATACTATACCACTACAATTTTAAGGAGACAATGTTTATAAATGTCTCTACATAACTTTACTCCCATTTAAGCAAAAAGCAAAATAAAATGTGAAAAACCCTCTTAATGAGAATATAGAAAAAACTGCCGAATTTTAATTTGGAGCATTAAAAAAAACACACATTCACACATTCAAACATATTTGACAATTCAATCAAACGAATCTGATTTAAAATTTATAATTAAAAAAATTAAAATTATTTTACGTGAATGTTATTCTCAAAATCAATAGATTAACAACGTAAATGCGTGAAGAACATAAGGATATTCAAACTCGAAATTATAATACTAGTAACATAATTGTTTTTTAAATATTTGGAGTCATCCATTCATTTTAGCTAAACTCATTGCAAAGAACTTAAAGTGACAACACCATAAAATAAGTATAAGTCACAATAAAAGACTTTAATATAGACACACCATTACTATTAGTTGTCTCAATCCCAATTAACTTTCCATACTTATTTTATGTTTAATTTATATGGCTATAGTTTTATAAGTATTAAATGCTAGAAAGGGCCATACCAAAGGTCCCTCCGACCACCTTTGTCACATTTTCCACTGCCCATGTCCCTTAGAACATGGAGCAAATTATGCCATTATTATTACCCTCTCTCTCATCTCAAACACCTCAATAAAAACCCCTTCACTCAACATAACTCACTCCCCTTACTTCTTCAACCAATAATCCTATGAGATGAGAAAACACAACAACAACATAAAAGTAAACAAATAAAACCACTTCAACTTCAATCATTGTTGTGTAATCCAATCCATCATCCATTATCCATTATCCAACCAAATCAAAAACCATCCATTTTTTTTACTATAATTTGTCTTCTAAGGTCATAACTCAAAACCCCTTTTTGTTTTTCAAGAAAAAAAGCTTTCTTTCATCATAAAAATCTTTCCTTTAATCATGGAAATTGAGTCAGCAAAGTGTGAATGCTGTGGCTTGAAAGAAGATTGCACACAAGAGTACATAACCGATGTGAAGTCCAAGTTTAATGGAAAATGGCTATGTGGATTGTGTTCAGAAGCTGTGAGAGATGAAGTAATGATTGGAGGAAAAAAACCATGGAACATGGATGAAGCTGTGAAAGCTCACATGTCATTTTGCAGAAAATTCAAATCTAACCCTGCTGTTAGAGTAGCAGAAGGTATGAGACAGATGCTAAGAAGAAGATCATCAAATGATTCATCATCATCATCATCATCATCTTCATCAACAACATCTTCATCTTCTTCAAAGAAGTATTCAAGATCAACAAGCACTTCTCAAGTTGGAGATTCTTCTACTTTCTCTTTCTATTGATGATGATAATCAAGAAAAACCAAAAACAGAGATACTCTGTTTCCTCTGTTTTTGGTTAGAATAAAATGTTGTTGTTTTTTCTTTCTTTCTTTTTGTCATGTACAAAGTTGTAATTTCAGGTATTTTTTCTACTAGTTTGGTATTCCTAATATCTTTGTCATATTTTATGTTAAAGTGTTTTTAACTTATTAACAAACTATAGAAGTTGTTAGTTAAATGTTTTGGTGTGTTAGGTTTAACTTTGACATGTGTTTTGTTACAAAATGTTGAGTCTATAGTTGTTAGTACTAGTACTAGATAGTTTATAATTGGCTTGAGAAAAGTAGTAAAATATTTTGCTTACTTAACATCCACTATAAAAATGAGGTAAAATCATCTATATGTATACTAGCAAAATAAAATGTGGCAATTTAGACTCTAATGTGCAATTGTGCACCACTCATAAAGTTGTGCATTTCAATTCTTCTTGACCAATAAATTTCCTCTCTCCATAACTAGTTATTCCTTTTTCCATGTCACTGTCATTCATCAATTTCATGTCAAGGTCAATAAAAGTATTACTGTACTTGATCATAAATTATCTGATGCTGCTAGACAATGTTGGTGATGGGGGTTTGATTTGCCTTGACTTTTATTGCAGTGAAAATAATGTACTGATAACGACTTGTTTCATTTCATACTAGATAACTTTGTACTTGTTGCAAATATGACAAGTAAAACAGAAATTAAATATACTAAAGTGTATTTTTTATATTTATTTTCTTTTTTTGAAAAATTTAAATAAATAAGCATAAGGTGAATTCACTCAAACACAATATTTAGAATAGCTACAATGCAAGTCACTGTATGCATGTGAACCAACTATTACCAACTAGCTTCAATTACCAATACTCAGTGCATGAAAACTAGAAGAAGTCACCACGATTGCTGCTCCTCAAGCTTCAATGCAAATCACTAGTGCCACCTAACTATTGTGATGAATGTGTTGCACTTCCATCTTTAGCGTTGGCTTTCGAGAACATATAATGGATGTATATTAGTGTTTGTAACAATCGCCGCGCACTACGAACTATTGATTTTTTTGAAAAAGATTGAATTTTTTGAACAAACATAAGAAATCTTTTTAGTTTTACGAAAGATAGAAGAGGGAAGAAAAAGAACATTGGTTAAAACAATTTTTCTATTCACTTTTTAATTAGAAAAAAATGTTACAAATGAATAACAACAACCAACGCTTAACCTCTTCTTAACAACCTGAGAGAGCAACCTATTTATAAACTACAAGCTAGGTTAACCACTAAGCTAACTTAACCAACAAGCTAACTTATATAACTACATGCTAGAACATGCTTCGACTACAACACACACATCTTCGACTCCTGCATGTTTGAACATAATTTGACTACAACATGCACAACTTTGCCGAAACATATATGAAGTTATCCATGCAGGGACTAGAGTTCGATCTAAAATACCACAAATCTCAATCTTGGAACAAACTCAACAACATTAATGGAACAACCTAGCTTTCATCATGCAACTTTATCAACTGCATACAGTAGAAGAACTTTCTACTTGGCAATGACTTGCTGACCATATTTGCAGCATTGTGATATGTCAAAACCTTCATCACTTTGACTTCTTGACTTTCGATTTTCTCCTCAAAGAAATGCAGCCTAACATTAATGTGGTTTGTTCTCTCATGATGGGATGAATTCTTCGAAATGACACTTTAACTATCACATTTAACAGTGATAGCTTAACCTTGAAGTTTCAGTTCTTTGACAAACTCTTCAAGTCACAATGCTTCTTTCACAACTTTAGTGAAGGCAATATGTTCAGTTTCAGTGGTTGATAAGGAAACAACCTTCTGAAGAGAAGTTTTACACTTGATTGTTGTACTAAAAATAATGAAAACATATTCAGAAATACATTTTCTGGTATCTATAGATCCTGCATAGTAAGATTTGACAAATCCTTCGACTTTGACTTCACCACCACTCATTGATCTACCATAAACCAAGACCCTACTCAGGGATCCTTTTATGTATCTCAGAATCTACTTCAAAGCTTGTTAGTTTTCCTTCCTAGGATTGGCCATATAAATGCTTACAAGGCTCACTCCGTATGTTATGTTTGGCCTTATACATACCATAACATACATCAAAGAACCTACTATACTAGCACACAAAATTCTATTCATATAGGATCTTTCAAATTCACTACTAAGGCTTTGAGTCCTACACAACTTGAATTGAGGATTTGTTGGTGTTACAACAGTCTTTGAATTCGACATACCAAATTTATCGAGAATGTTTTTCAGGTATGTCTCTTGAGATAAGCATAATCTCGACTGTTTTCTATCTCCCAAGAATCCTGGTGGCAGATCCTAGATCCTTCATGTTAAACTCCTTATTGAGTTCAACCTTCACATTCATAACATTCTTGAAACTCTTGCTTGCTATGAGGATGTCATCCACATAAAGTAGCAAAATAACAAGTGAACATCTAGGCCGAAATTTGAGGTAAACATAATGGTCAAACTGCTTCTTAGTGAAATATATGAATTTCACGAATTTGTCGAATCTCCTATTTTATTTTCGAGGAAATTATGTCAGGTCATATAATGACCTATTCAACTTGCAGACATGATATTCCTTTCCTCTTTTTGCACACCCTTCAGGTTTTCTCATCAGGATTGTTTCATCTACATCACCATACAGGAAGGTTGTCTTTACATCCATCTATTCAAGTTCTAAGTCAAACATTTCCACCATGGCCAACAATATTTTAATGGTTATGTGCTTTACAATATGTGCGAACACATCATTAAAGTCGACTTCTTCTTTCTGAGTGAACCCCATGGTAGCCAACCTTGCCTTAAATCTCTTTGACATCACTCATTTGGTTCTTTCTTTAACCTTGAAAATCCATTTACAATTGACTAACATGGTTCCAATAGGTTTCTCGATCAGCTCTCAATTGTGGTTATCATGAAGATATTTCATCTCATCATCCATGGATTTCAGCCATTCAGTCTTGTTTCAACTCTTCGTAGTTTCCTTGTAATCTCTAGGTTTTTCATCAAGAACCTCACTTGCAAAGATTAAGACAAAATCTATGAGATCTGCATAACCAAGTCTCTGATGTGGCTTGATGGTTCTTCTCGACCCGTCTCTTTCCAACAGGTAGTCATCAACAGTTTCCTCAATTTCTTCAGCATCACACGCTTTTTCCTCGACTTCATCTAAGTTATGCAATTCAACATCAATATGCTCCACGTTAACATGAAACTCCTCATGATCTGGCTCTTTTACAGAGATCTTTGCATTTCAACCAGCATCATCAATTTTCTTGAATGCCATTTCTGCTTCATTGAAAACCACATCACGAATTATGATACATCTTCTGTGACCTAGTTCTAGGCACCACAACCTATAGGCTTTTACTCCGTTAGGATTCCCCATAAACATGCATCTTAGAGCTCTAGGTTCAACCTTGTCTAGCCTAATGTGAGCATATGCTACACAACCAAATACTATAAGTCTATCGAGATTAGGTAGATATCTGACCAGACTTCTTCAGGTGTTTTCATCCCTAAGGTAGTCGAGGGACACATATTTATCAAGTATGTTACAGTCACTGCAGCCTCAGTCCAAAACACCTTATTCAATCCTGCACTAACCAACATGCATCTAACATTTTCTAGGATTGTTCGATTGAATATCTTAGTTAGGATATTTTGCTGAAGAGTACCCGCATTAGTCTTGTGCCTTGAAATACCTAACATACTACAATAACTATCAAAAGCTTCATTGCAGAAATCAAGGCCATTATTGGTTCTCAACCTTTTGGCCTTCCTGCCAGTTTGATTTTCGACTAGAGTCTTTCAACTTTTGAAATTTTCAAAAGTTTCATTCTTAGTCTTCTGGATGAATACCCATAACTTTCTGGGATAATTATCAACTATGGATAGAAAATATTTTGCACCTGAGTGTGAAGGATTCCTTACAGACCCCCAAAGATCAGCATGCATGTAATCAAGAAATCCATGTGTGCTTCATTTGCATTTGTTAAACTTCACTCTGTATGATTTATCAAACATACAAGGTTCATAGAATTTCAGCTTTTCGACTTTGTCACCACCTAGAAAATTTTGTTTCCCTAGTTCAACAAAACCTTTGCATTTGTTAAACTTCACTCTGTATGATTTATCAAACAGACAAGGTTCATAGAATTTCAGCTTTTTGACTTTGTCACCACCTAGAAAATTTTGTTTTCCTAGTTCAACAAGACCCCTTTCATTGACATGGATGAATCTCACGTGCCATTGTTTTGTCTTCGACACAGGTTTTTTGGAGGCAAAATTTAAGGATCCATTTAGAACCTCAACCTCAAGGGTATACAAACATTGTTTCTTCACGCCTCTCATGAGTTCCTTCGACCCCTTTACGACTCTTAGGATACCATACTTTCCTTTAAAAGGATATCCCTTTTTGTCGAATTCACTAAGAGAAATTAAATTTCTCTTCAGATCAGGTAGATACCTAATATCAGTTAACAACTGATCGTACCTGATCAAAAAGGAATCAAAGACCTGCCACGCATCGTGATCTGATGCCTTCGCCGAAGTTATGGATGAGAAATGGGGTGTATCTGCAAAATGCTCGAATGCTTAAGTAAGTACTGGCACTAGAGAGAGCAAGTAAAAAGAGGAGATGTAAGGAATATAATACTTGACCCTCTAGTGGAAGAGGGTATTTATAATGTGCCTCCAGCTCAGGGCCAACAGTTACATTTCATTGGGTCGGATTGCCAAGCCCAACACAAGTAACTGCCAGGGCTTACATGACGTAGTGAAGATCAGCACGTGGTCTTCGCCCTAGATCAACTGCCCCATGATCTTCGGAAGGTAGGTCGACCATCTCTTTTAGAAGTGGATAGTTGCCTGATGACATGTCCCTGCATAGGGAGGTCGTTTTCCCAACGGATGTGCCTTG